ATAGAAGGTCAAGCTGGAGTCTATACAGATTCCTCCTACTTATCCATAGACAAGACCATGTTAGCCACCAAGATTTGTTAGATTGCCTTTAAAGAAAAGTGTCCTTTTTCTCAAGACAAATGTTGTATGAACATGAAGAAAGAAGTCACTTTTCTCGACCAATACGATAAAACTGATGAAGGAACATCAATGATTTGAAAAATGATTTGTATCAAATCAGAGTCGCCTTATTTTGGCATTATAATTCCATCTGTACAGACACACAAACACATTTGCGTGAGATTTGGCACAAATTAACCCACCGAAATACACAATGTCGAAAGATCATGCGTTTTCAAAGCTTCTTCAGACACCAGATAGCTATCACATCATCAATGTGATCTCCAAATATTACGAAGACATAACTTCACAGAGAGATTTAGCATGAAGATGGCGAGAATAATGAAAATTCTTTAAAATAAATCCAAAACTCAGAATGCAAACGAAGCGTGAAGAAGCTATCTAAGAGGATTCCAAACTAGATACAACGCAAAGCAGAAGGTTTTATTCGATTTTGAAGACAATTTCTTCTTTATCTTTACTGGGATTGATGACTACATAAATAATTATTGCCATTTTCGTTATTAATTTTATTTAATAACTAGCCTTTTACCCAGATTCCATCAAATCCAAATCATGAATTCAGACTTTGTTAACTTATTTACTTGTGTTATCTCTGCATTTTTTCAAACCGCAAGCAGAAATATCGAAGTATTAGCATCTACAATGGATCTTCGCAATGGAACTCTTATTACGAACCATTCAATGTTTCCATACGAAATTGAAGATGGAAATTTTATTAAAGTACCAAACGTCTCGAATTTTGATAAATCTTCCATTGATGTTACACTTCAAGACATCAGATGAGATATAGCAGCATAAACGTTTTAGGCTACTGGGACCAAACTTGCGATCAAAAGATTTTCAAAATCTAACGATTAGATTCGAATTACGCGAAGTTTGATGCCGGCCAAAACTTCGAGACATCTTTTATGAAAATTAACAGCCGAGATTATCGAACAATATCCTTGAAAAGATACAATGTTCTGACGTTCACGAATCCCAATTTTACCTGAACCAAATTCCTGACATTTTAAATCAATGGAAAAAAGAAAAGTTAGTGGACCTTTCAATTTTACATTAATATCGTTTGGCGGTTATTTTAATTGAAATTATACATATGTATCGTAATTTTAGTTTCACGGACGAAAGAAAGAGATACTTTATTATGGAAGCTTATTATCATAGATGTCAATAAATTAAAACCCAAATGCGATCTGTCATTGAGAATGGCGAGAAACCTTGTAACAGGAACATAACCTTCTTACATCGAGCACAGACTCAGTGAACAACCTTCTTGTCAGTGACGAAATACGAAAGTTCTGGAACAGTAATACGTCAATTCCACAGAAACCAACTCAAAGAGAAACGAAATTCGACCCAATCAATGAAGTGAGCGAGTCTCAAACATCAAGTTCTGCTTGGGATCCCCTCTTTCCAACGTAATTTATCAGTCTACCGCGTTTCTTGCTATTTTTAGGGTCTTTAATGTTTTTATCGGGTACCCTTACACAATATCGAATTTCCTCAGAGCAACAAGTTTATTTATTAGACATACAAGGATCTTGTCATGCTACAACACACTGCAATTGCAATTTAATAACTTTGACGCTGCTTTGAGATTTTACGGTTACCGGATAACGATACAAAAGTGACATGGAAACGATGATTACAACAACAACAGATTCTTTTATCCAATTTGTCATTTGAAGTGTTGAGCAACCAAACTGATTTGTACACGAACACAGCGGATATTTATAAATTGATTAACACAATAAAAGAATTAATCAACGAAACAATTCAATTACAAATCAGGAAGTTGACAAAGAAAATTTGTTGAATTTGACAGAATATGTTTATTCAAATTGTGTCAAATTCTATATACGATTATTACGAGAATTCAACTGATTCTTTCAACAGAACACTTCACAAAGTATATGTCATCAAAATTGTATTGAGTGTTTCTTTTTTTTGTCTGTTTTCTCTTTCATTTGTCTTGGTTTGTACAGAAGCTACGTAATTTACGATGAAGACGTAGCTTACAAATCAATTCTGATGCTCTTGGCAGAAAAAGATTTGTCAATGCTCACAAAATTGAATGAACTATTGAATCCTGTCAAATCATTGACAATCAACAGAAAACACAAATGATGACCAAGAAATTTCCAGGAAGATCTTACTACGACAACATCATCTGTTTTCCTTTTGAACAGCGATTTCGTGATACAAAGATGTGAATGCAAGTGGCTGCAACTTTGAAGAGAAAGAAAATGAACATCATTCAATCAAACATGAGATCATTCATTGTCAAACCAAGTAAAAATGATATATTTAGAGATGGTTATTACGCAATGAAGAATTATATCAAAAGATTGATTGATACAAGCGGTGTTTCCGCTTCGAAAGACAATTTTTTAATTTACTTGTGAGATCTGATATGCGAGAATTACTCCTGTTTTCGTGACTGTCGTTAACTTGACGAGGTGTTGAAGTTTGGGATAGATCAATGTGCTTCGGATTCATCATGAAGAGACTGTTCTGAATATTCACAGAAAGAACAAAGATATTTAGAAGCAAGACAGAAAATTCTAAATTGTTGAATGATATTTTGCCGCCAATTATAGCTATGAGATTGATTTCGAAGTCTGAACAAAGGGAAGAGCAATAAGCAGCGACCAATTCCCATGTTTGATGACGAGAACAAGACATAGAAGTGTTAGATTTTATTCTACGGATGCTTCGAGTATAAATGCTTCGCAAAACAGAAGAAAAGAAGATCAGTTGATCTCAAGAGTTGATAAAGCAACTTTTATTTTCATTGGTATCACGAATTTCGTGTCCTGGTTAAAAACAGTCGCATACTGAAATCATGGAAAGACTTGAAATAATTTCGACTTTGTTGGATTCAACATTGACACAATTCCCAACATTGACGAAGATTAAGACAATTAAACGTTGTTATATGGCTGCTGCTGGTTTGTTTAATGAAGTTACCGATAAGACATTGGAACATGAGGCTGTGCAATTTGCTTATGAAGGAGGAAAAGAAAATTTTGGAGCAGCAGTTCTTCCAACAAAAACTCAATGAGTTTAGTCATTGGAATAAATACTGGAGGTCCAATCATTTCGGGTGTTTTGGGTACTGATAAACCTTTCTTCGACGTGTGGGGAGATGCTGTAAATGTTGCTGCAAGACTTGAAACAAGTGCTGATCCAAACACAATGCAAATGAACTACGAAACAACTCTTGGATTCCAAAAGAACCGCTTTCCAAAATAAGAGAAAAAAGCATGGATCTCTCTTCAAATGGATGGCAACAAATCATTCACCAAGATGAAGAAATACTCAGTGGGACCATATCCAGCAACTACGGCTATAGGAACTCTCAGAGATTTAACAGTTCTTGTAAATGAATTCATTTTAATACAAAATCAAGCAAATTATTTAAAAAGTGACGAAGCAAAGTCAAAAAGTGAAATGACCACACAAAAATTAAGACTCTTTGAAAGTGAAGAAACAGTGAAAGAGTTCATAAATGTATCTAGTTATGTTTGCGGCGACACAAAATTTGGTCAAATTTCAAATGGTTTCTTCACTGAATATTACAATAATGTAAAAACTCTGTTTTTGAAAGGAAAGACGATAGGATCAACTGCCACAATTTTGTTCACACCGGAATTAGGGTTTTCCACTGTTATTATGACTAATCTCTACAACGAAAGGATGTTAAACAACGGATTGAATCGATATTTGTATGGTTTCGAAGGCCGCCCGACGAATATTTCTGAAATTGAAGTATTGATCAATGGAACATACTACAAACAGAGTGAATATGCCGAATACGGAATCAGAGGCTATTACCAGAAGCATGATGAAATGATTTTGTTGAGAGATGCTCCTGAATACATAAATTTCGATTCCCAACTGTATGTTCACATTGGGAATAACCATTACCAGGCTTATAGATTAAGTGCAAGACTCGATTATATACCTGCACATCTATATTTCTGCGAAGAACAGAAAGGTGTTTATTATCCAGGCGAATTCAATAAATTTGTTGGAAAAAATGAGTCAAATTATTTCATTGTTAGGATGTTTATGGTAGGAAATACTTTCGGATTTATTATATATTTTATTGTTTTATTACCAGGAGGTATCGCAATCTTTATTAAGGAAAAGAAATTGCCTTTCCTCGAATCAAGAAAACCGAAAGTTATTATTGGTATGATTTTGACTTTTGTGACAAGTTTCAGTTCATTTATTTTGTTGATTATTAACCAAAGAGATACTACTTTTATTACTCATCAAATCATGTACTTGGAATATAGTTATTTCATTATTGACCTCATTGTTATTTTGCTAAGTAATTTGTTTATTATAATTCTTTTGTGTTTAGACTTTTATAGAGAAAATAAGAGTTGGATTGATGAATATATAAATCCACAATCATTGCTGAGTGGTTTCTCAGAAGTAACTAAGAAGAGGAAGGATAAAAACTTCTTTAGATTATCAGCAATGCTGACCGTTTATTTCTCTCTAATTTGTGCCGATGTTCACATCGGATTTTCTTTCTATTTTCAATTATATTATTTGTAAATGTTTTATTATTACTATTTTATTTGAAGAAACTGCTCTTTATTATGACTCAAATATTCACTTTTTTTACTTCATGAAAATAAATGAAAATGATTAAGTCAAAAATAAAAATAAGATTTTTTATCAACCACCAATTCATTGAGTTCTCTCAAAATTTTGCACCACTTTTCAGAGCCAACGGAGTAAATAAAATTAAGATTCAAAATCATGGCACGAATCTAAAATATACGAACCTCTCTCTTTTGCATATCAGTGTTAAATTGAAAGGAAACTCTACTAAGAAATGGAATTTGTGATTTTATAATATGGGAATTTTTTATGACCTTCAAAACCGTTCAAAAGGAGAAGCAAATGTTCAAATTACAAACGAAAAAGAATATACTTTCAATTATCCTTGCGGATCTCTGTATGACTGTACTCCTTATGTTGTAATTCTTCCTGCCGGCCATTACACTTTTGAAACATGGGGTGCACAAGGAGGAAGTTATTATAACAATAATGGCGGAAGAGGAGGATACTCTGTTGGCTCCATCTCCTTAAAAGCTTCCACTGTCGGCTTTTTACATATCGGTGGCAAAGGAACTGCCACAAATATTCAAGGAAAACAATCTGGCGGTTTTAATGGAGGCGGATATGGGCAATGCGACCTCTCTGGAACAAAAGGAGCTGGAGGAGGAGGGGCTACAGATATAAGGCTCATTAGAGACACATTATATAGCCGTGTTATTGTGTCTGGTGGTGGTGGGTCTGGATTTGGATATGTTTATAATTTCAACTCAAAGGCACATAGTTCAGGGGGTTATGGAGGGGGAGAAAAAGGGGAAGATACCAAAGTTCACCCAGAAGAATCCAGTTTTACTGGAGGTGGAGGAAATCAAACCAATCCTGGATACACTCCATCATACCAATCATATGTTATTCCTGCAAAATTCGGTGAAGGGGGATCCTACACTAAAAATGGAGGTGATAGCGATTCGCCAGGTGGTGGAGGGGGCTGGTTTGGAGGCTCTTCTCCAGGAGATTCTGGCTTAGGCGCAGCTGGTGGTTCTGGATATATTCTGACTGAGTCCTCATATAAACCTCCTGAATATGAATTGACCTCTGAATACTACATGAAATCCATTTCTCAATTAAACGGAATTAGAGAAGGAAATGGGATGATTCGAATAACAATCAATGAGATATATGAAGAATTAAAAGACAAATGTAAGAAATATTGTACTTTTTCACATATATGTCCAAATTCAATATCTTCATTATTAATTATTTCATTATATCCTCCACGCAGACGATAAAAAAAATCTTATAAAAATATATTGTTTTTTTTTTTTAGAATAAAAAAAGAGAAAAACTACTTATTTGATACTATCATAGTTTGGATTAGCAGCTGCCTTCTTCTTGGCGTAGAAATATGCCATTACGTAGACAGCGATGAGGAATACGACTATGAGCGATGAGCAAGTGATGATCATCGGGATTGCGAAAGGCAGGAGGTAGATCTTGACCTTCCATCCGTCCTCGCACTCGCAGCCGAAAGCTGGTCTGTCCTTAGACAAAGCTGGGAGGCACTTGTCTGTGTGCATGCAGTAGCCGCAGCCTGGCATATCGAGGCAGTCCTTAGAGTTGTTGAAGGTGGCGCATGTCTTCTCGCTGGCACCGAATGTTGTCCATGGGAACTTCCATGTGTCGACTAAGCCGTAGTTGGAGATGCCTGGCCAGTTCGAGAAGCTGAAGGCTGGGAGGTTCTCGTACTGTGGTGAGGCAATCGCGTCAAATGTGAAGTGCTTCATGGCCTGTTTGAGTGAGGCTGTCTTGGAGTCGAGGCCGGCGAAGGATGCCTTGCTGCCGAATGCTGTGCCGTTATCTGGGCGGAGGTCGTAACGAGCAAGGATGCCCTGGGCTGGTTCGCCGTAGTTTGGCTCAGATGGGTCGGTGTACTTGTTCCATCTCATGAGTTGCTGGAAGAAGCTGTATGTAGTGTTGTCTTTGACGTGCTTGACAATGACTTTGTAGCGTGGCTGCTCGTAGTATGACCAGAAATCTTTCTTGGCTGGCTGGCGCTGCTGCTGGCCTGGGTAGTCGGCGAGGTTGAAAATGTCTTCGAAGTATGGTGTGTTGATAGATGGGAACCAGCCTTGTTCAACAAACTTGTCTGTGATATCTTCGGCGTGGAATGTTGTTGGAAGCTGCTCAATCATCCAGACAAGGTCAGAAACTGGCTTCTGGCCTGGTGTGAACTTGTTGCCATCAAGAACGATGTACTCGTTGTTGTAGGTGCCGGAGTTTTCAAAAATGAAGTTCTGTGTCCAGTCCTTGCCGTTGTCGGACTTGAGCATGGCGTAGTAAACACGCATCCATGTGAGAACAGAGTTTGGCGTGACACCGATTCTGTAGAGTGTCTGGTTGAAGCAGTGGAGGGTTGTCTCGAGGACAAGAAGGTTTGTATCGGCCATCCAGAAATCGTCAACAGAGGAAAGGTGACCAGTACGTGTAGAAATGGCGATGTTCTTGGCCTTGAATTCCTTAACCTCGAAGGAATAGGACTTGAGGTAGGCGTGGAGTTCACGGACATCACTCCATGTGTCCTGGGCGAAGTAGATGTCGGAGTAGTCTGGAGCGAACTTGAGAAGGCCTGTGCAGTGGGCGTGGAGTTCTGGCTCAGCGCGGCGGATCTTCTCTGGGTTGAGGGCCTGGTCGATATCTTCGAAGTCACCGGCGGACTGGAAAATCCAGAAATCTACTTCCTTAATTTCCGCTTCGCCTTCTGGCCTGTGTTCGCGAAGACCATTGACCATACCACGGAACTGCTCACGAATGAGGCTAATTCCGATCCAGTATGGGTCTTGTGGGTTCACTTGAATTTGCTTGTTGATGTATTCAATGTTTTGGTTGATCCAGTTTTCCCAGCCCTTTGGCCAAGCGTCCTTAGCATTATTCTCTTCGCGGTACAATTTGTAAGCTTCATAAACACGGCTGGCAGAAATAGCTGTGTCAATATAGCCCATGCAGAACATTTGATCCTTGGATGATGACTTTGGATTGGCTCTGATATTTAATCTGCCCCATCCGGATTCGTTGAGAGAATCATTGAATGTAGCATAAGCATCCCAATCAGCGAACTCTGTAAGTGAGAAGTTTGCGGATGTTTCGTTGATACGCTTGCATGATGCGCCTATTGGTGTTGAGGATGCAGCGCGTCCGATGAACAAAGAAATACTCATTGAAAATTGATCGACCAAGCCGTTTGACACTATATCAGTTGAGAATATCGGTTTTGTAAACTATTCAAAAAGATCATCGTTCTTTTCATCTTTTATAACGATGAGAAATTTGAAAGTGATCTCATGATATCATAGGAAAAAATATTTGGTATGATCATTCGTATTACTCACATTGTATTTCATATATTTTCGGCTATTGTCGATTAAAAATTCTTGATTGGATTTCGATTTGATAAAAAATTTCGGTAAAAAAGGGGGTTGGCGTCCTAAGGCGTCCTAGTGTAAATTTCTCAAAATTGTGATATTTACATCACATTTTTGAGAGGTTTATGGGCGTCCTAAGGGAAAATTGAATAGCTAGGGCGTCCCGAATTTTCATTCTAAGATTTAAATATATTATATACTTAAGTATAATACAAGCAATATAAAAATTAAATTTTTATTATGTTAACTTATAAGAAATTTTTTTGAATTATCGTTGATTTATTGTAATCTTTCCAGGCTATACTTTTGAAATCAACTTTACCTGTCATACGCATTAATGTAGTAGATGTCCAGGTGTAGCTATTATATCCCAGCAACATTGGTATTTTATCATTGTAAGATATCAAAATGAAGCGTTTTTTCAGATATAATTTTTCGTAAATTTTTCAAAAATAAGATGGTAAAAAAGCCTCGACTTGCTCGAAAAATAACAATTTTTTTACTTGTAAAAATAACCCTTTTACAGCATGGGCAGCTATTCAATCACTATTTCTTTTTCTAAAAGTATATTTTTCAAAAAAAATTAAGATCAAATTCGACAATTTCTTGATGAAAGCAAAAATATTACACATACTTCTAGATGCATGGGATAAAATATGCAATTATTCAATCAATTCGCATGATTTGAAAAAAAAATCTAAATTTGATAAAAATGTAGAAATTTTTTATTTTTAACTTGAGATTCGATTTTTTGATCCAATTTGTGAATTTTTTTGATCGGAATTTCAATTAATTTGTTGATCAAAAATGACCTCACAATGTTTGATAATAAGTGAAGTCATCTTCATGGGTATTTAGAAATTCCAAGAGAAATTGCTTATTTCTCGCAGATGTAATATCTGAGAAAATCGAATTTAAATATTCATAGAAACCCAAATCATTCTCCGGTTCGAATAATTCATCTGTTGCTTTTTCTGTTTTTTCTATGAATTTTAATAATTTGATTAATAAATCTTCATCAGGAAGAATTATTGCTGCATTTGTGATAAAATTCCATATTGAGGTAATATGGCAATAATTACATTTATAAAATGTAATTTTATCCAAAATTTTTTGGCAAATTCGCATAATAGCATTAATATTTGAAGCTGAGATTAAACCTGTGATTACTTCTGTAACTTTTGGAAAATCATCGCAATTTAATATCTCTTTATATTGAATTGAGAAATAAAAAAAATCAAATGGATTCATTTCTTCAATTTCAAGGAGATTGTAAAAATTGATAGAAGTGTTATTGCAACAAATTGTATTTGCAGCAAAAAATATCATTTGCTCGATTCCATTTTTGGAATAAATTTGCTGGAACAATGTTAAATTAAAACAGTTGCTTAATTTTTCTTCATTGTTTTCATAAAAAAGTAACAAGTTTGCAACTGAAATTTCAAAATTTTGATAATTGCCAGTTATTTCAGTAAATATATATATTTGCTTTTCTTCATCTAAAAATGGCAAATATTGATTTGCAATATTAACTAAAGTTTGGGATAAATTGTTCCAGTTTGATTTTACAATTTGTGAGCACATTATGTAATATGTAAATTTATCCGCTTTGTAGGAATTTAAAATTGTTTGTTGTTCTGTTTCAGTTAAATTACTGAATTTTTCAAGATTAATATTGTGATAAAAAATAGAATCCTTGAAACATTCTGATATCTTTTCAATGTTTAAAACGGATGCTAAAAAATGTAAAAGAACTTCATCAGTCACTGTGATTTTTTTGAAAAATTTATCCCAATTCAAGCATCCAATTGATCTTTCTGTCATTGTACTTATGCATTGATAAAGTTGATTTAATGAATCCGAAGAATAATCATTATGCTTGACTAGTTGAGTTAGTTTGATACAGACTGTTGTCAGCCATTTTTAAAAAAAATGAATAAAATTGTATAGTAAATTATATTTGTGAAATTTGTGACGCTACATTCAATCTAAGACCAATATCTCAAAGAATTCCTCATTTAAGTATTACTTTTCATTGTTTTTTAAAAAATATCTTTGCTTATTTGTTCACTTTTTTGACATTTATTATATGCTTTTTATCATATTTCCGATGATATGAATATATATTCTATATAAGAATGACGCTACATTCAATCTAAGACCAATATCTCAAAGAATTCCTCATTTAAGTATTACTTTTCATTGTTTTTTAAAAAATATCTTTGCTTATTTGTTCACTTTTTTGACATTTATTATATGCTTTTTATCATATTTCCGATGATATGAATATATATTCTATATAAGAATGACGCTACATTCAATCTAAGACCAATATCTCAAAGAATTCCTCATTTAAGTATTACTTTTCATTTTTGATTCAATTTTCGAACGGTTTTCGTAAATTTTGCATCATTTCATTTTTTAATGGGAAAATCATCTATATTTAATCAAAAAAGAGCAAACTTTACAGACGAAAATAAAATATTTATCAGGGAACAATCTGATAAATACCAAAAATCAACATCGAGAGATGAAAAAACGAATATAATCAAACAAGTTCTTCAATATTTTAATATTAAATACGCCGAAAATGAATCTAAAGCTGTCAGAAGATATTTTAGTTATATTGCAGTTAAAAATATTCCCGCAGTTACTGGAAAATATCCTGATACAATTGTTCGCAAAGATATGCTTTATTCGCATGATCATACAAATATTATTAATTCAAATAATATTGAACGTTACTACCGTTGCATCGATCATTCTTGTCAAGCACGTTATTTAGTTAAAATTGAGAACAGTTCAGTTTCCGAAGATTTACAAAAGGAACATATACCCGAATGCAGACAATTTAAAAAGTTACAAAATGAAAAAAATGATCTTCATAAATCAATGACTCTGACAGAAATATACAATAAGGCAATGGCAAAATTTTCTGAAGACAACGGCACTTTTCAGCAGATTAAAAAATTTATGACAGAACTTGCTGTTGGTACTGATGAAAACCCATTAATTAAAGATTCATTGGTCAGGGAAGTTTATAATAAGTCCAGAAAATTTTCTGTTGGAGAAAAAATTACAGACGATGAAATTGCTAATTTTTGTTTAATAAATGGCGAGCAGTTTTTCATTGGCCATGATTTTCAAGCAAATTGTGAGACGATGTTTTTTGGTTTTGAGAAGGCAATTCAATTTGCAAAAGAAGCCACAGATTTATTTTGCGATGGAACTTTTAAAATTACACCAAAACATTTTCAAAAAGGACAGATGCTAACAATTATGATTTGTGAACCTTCAACAAATCAATATCTACCACTTTTATTTATATTCATGAAAAACCGCACATTTGAATCTTATAAGAAGGCATTTGAATATATTTTTACTGTCAAGGGTATTCAATTTTCAAAGCTAATTCAAATTCATTGTGATTTTGAAAAGGGAATGATAGAGGCACTTCAACAAATTTTCCCTAAAGTCCGTATAATTGGATGCCTATTTCATTTCAAACAAGCTTTACACAGGAAACTTGTAGCACTTTATACAAAAAATTTCAATACTTTACAAAATTCTTTATTTAAGCTATATTCTATTACTCCATTCATGTCTCATGAAGAATTTGTACTTACAATGCATATAATTAATCAAAATAAAGTTGATTCGATCAAAGATTATATTGATTATTTCAACAAAGTTTGGTTGCCGCACTACAATTTAATATCTCAATATAATAATGCAACTGCAATATTCACTAATGATTGCCTCGAGAGTATGCATTCAGAATTTTCTTCGTTAAAACATCCAAACATTTATGAAGCTATTAAGAAGATATCTCAAATCCAATTAGATAAATATAACGCCATCAAAAATAACCAGAAGATCGAGCGCCATATAAAAACCGTTATCACTGATAGCTACAAAAATTATATTCTTGACTGCTTTCAAAAAGAACTTGAGAAAACAATTTTTTCTATCAAACAATACAACGTAAGTGATCTTTCTTTGGCTCAGAACGAGATTTCTCCATATGGTTCCATAGAATCGAGTTCATTGTTCGAAAATATTCCAGTTCATGATGCAGATATACTCAAATCGATCGATCTAACAGATAAAGATACAATGATCACTAAGTTTATTAATGAAAAAAGAGAAAAAAATTATGGCATTATTTAATGAAACATTAAATCATCCAGATTTTAATTCATCCACTCCAATTCAAACTAATTTTGAGCAAGCCGATACAAATCAAGGTTCAGATGCTCCAATTCGCTCCGAAAATTCAAATATTGCAGACTCTACAGATTTAGAACCAGAAAATCAAAACCATCCTTCTACAAATCAAATGTCTAGTAATCTAGAACATAAGCTGGACCTTCTTGATCATATTGAAAAACAATTATCGAAAATGCGCTCGTTATTGGGAATTCTTCCTACTACAAATGCTATTGTTGGGCCGTCAAAACAAGTTTCAGTTAATAGCAAGCAAAATTCTGAAAAAAATAAGAAAAAATCTTCCATAACAACAAAATCAAACAATAAAAAATAAAATTCATCCGATAATCCTCCTAAACGTAAAGCTCCTATTTCGGAAAGGATTCTCAGCGATAATAACTTATATTTTCAAGTTCATCGAAAGAGATCGAAAAGCAAACGTTCCACATCTACAGAGAAAAAGAATTGATATATGAAGTCTAATTCCTTTTATAACTACTATATTTTTATTCTTATGACTAAAAAATAATATATTATTTAACAATTTTCATTTTTTTCTTTTAACAATTTCGTTTTATTTCCATTTATTGTTAAATGATTTTTAGCATACACCTTTCTTTGTTCATCTTCTAAATACAATTTATTTTTTCTTAGATATAATTCTATTCATTCAATTCGATCGTCATTTTTCAGTACATGATCGTAATTTTCAATTATTGATCGCGATTTTACTTCAGAATTTGTTCGCAATATTGCTTATCAAAATTATATCTCTATTTTCTCATTTCTGTTTAGTCAATATCATTACACTCCTATTGTCTAATAACATGCTATTAATTTTCTTAAAATTAGAAAAAAATATCAACTTTTAAAAACAGAAAGTTAACATCCTTAGGTCAATGGATTTTGATGTGAGATACATTTAATCTGTTTTTCTTTTTTTATTTTAAATAATTGAATATTTATAGTTGTTATGGGTCTTACATCATGTAAAACGAATTTTCTTAAAGTAAATTTACTTTTTCTTCAATCTTTCTTACATATTTATTTAAAAAAAATTATCCAAAAAAAGATGTTTTAGAATGAAAAAAAAATAGAAAAATCTTCATTTATAGTCTTTCTTGAATGTATACGTTTTGATTTTTTTCTTTTTTAAAAAATTCAATTTCTAGAAAAATCGAGAAAAAATCATTTTCTTCTATTTTTTAGGACGCCATACCCATTGAAATCTCCTCTCAGGACGCCATAAACTATTCAATTATGGTGTAAACTTCTTAAAAATTGAATAGTTTACATCAGGACGCCTTAGGACGCCAACCCTTTACGCGCCCAAAATTTCATTTCACAAAAAAATTTCATGTATTATTTAATAGTAGCATACGAATGTGTAGTTGGAAAATTGACAAATTATCATATTAAAGCTATCACATAAATGATATTTTCCGAAATTCAATTTTGAATCTGTGTTATAGAAGTATATCTGAACAAATTAAGATTCAGTGCATGGCTGAAGTTATAATGTACCTTTTTTATTTCTTTTGCGGCTTCGAAATGAGAATTATATCAATAATCTAGCACGACTACATAAATATCAACACTGCAAATTAACAAGTTATTGTCTACAAACTAAACCAGCTAGTTCATCATTACATTAGATAGATCGTAAAAATACCTCAATTTTTTACTTTTGCAACTCAATATGGAGAATTTTTTTCAAATTATAGAACTATTTGAAATACAATAGAGACCAACACTGATATGGAAGTATAGGATATCAAAGAACCTTTATAATGGTAATACTATGATGAGGTATTTTCGACTTTTTACATTGGATTGCTCAGGCATTATAAGAAATCATCCTTATTTAATCAATACACAGTTATGTAACTTTTTTTGGATAAGTCGCAAAATTCTTAGTGGAAGAAATTTCCTTCAAAATTTTTGACAACAATTTTTCTAAATTTAGATTTGCATACTGACAAGTTTTTTTGGTTCCCAGTTTCTGCAGTTTTAATTTCAATAAAAAATGCCAACACTTTTCAATATAAAATGTTTTTGATTGATTTAGGCAATCATTCCACCAAGGTGAGTGAAATCACAAATGGAAAGTTATCTTTTGATATCAAAAATTCTACCACGAACAGATTTCCGACAGTTTTCTCTGTATTTAAAAAAGAAATAAAATTTTCATCTTTGGCACTTGATCCAACATGCAGTAATGAATCAGATACTTTCAGAAATCTCATTAGTAATCTTGTTGATCCTAAATATGAACAAGACGAAAAAATACTTCTTGCAGCTTTCATCAAGTCACTTAATAATTTCATCAATCCAGAAAACAAAAACAAATTAGTATTTGTTTGTCCCAATTGGTGGATTAATGCTGGAATTCTGACAAAAGTTCAAGCTGCAATTAATATTGCAGAACTTGATCAAATTTCTAGTTTCGTTTATTCAAGTGACATGTTATCAGATTTAATAAGCCAAACACAGGGTATCAATCAGTTTCGTAAAGTTTTTGTTTTTGATTCTGGTGATTACGTCACCCAAGCATATAAATTTAAGAGAAGCCATGGAAAATATATACTAAAGAAGTATAAAAGTATAAAAGCTGGTGGAAATAGAGTTACTAGCAGAAACATTGAAATTATTTATCAACACATGAAAAAACCAGAACAAGCGGAATTAATTGAGAAAGTTGAAAATAAAAATGATACCTCAGATAAAACTAAAAGTTACAAACAATGCATTATTAATTCAGCTCAAAAATGCAAAGAAACAATGATTCTCGGACAAAGATCAAAGTTTAATTGTGACCAAATTCTTGAATGCAATTTAACTACAATCTACAAGAACGACAAGAACGAATACGAAAGAATTATCACTAAATTGGATGATTTTGTTAAAAACTTCATTGATTCAGGTGAAACAAAATTAAATGAAGCAGAGCAAAGGGATGCAAAAGAAGAAATAGTTAAAAAACAAAGTGATTCAACAAAAGAGAAAGACAAACAACAAAGTGATTCAACAAAAGAGAAAGACAAACAACAAAGTGATGCAAAAACAGAGAAAGACAAAAAGCATAGTGATGAGAAAGAAAATGTTCCAACGGAAGGAAAAGGAAAACCAAATAAACCAATAGGAGAAAGTGTTCCAAACCAAAATGGAGCAAAAAAAGAGAAAAAGACAAAACCTAGTGAATCAAATGAAGTTTCTAAACCAAATGATTCATCAAAGAAATCACGTTCTAGAGACAATGCTTTAATAAAACATGGAAATAAACAAATCATATCTCCCAATTCGCCACATCATAATTCAAACCAAAGCAGAAGTAAAAATCAGCCTCTTCCAAATTTACCCGAAACACAGGATTCATTATTGCATGAGAAACAGAAAATGGAAATATCACACAGCACGGATTCAGACATTAAAGAAGAAATGAAAGGACAATCCAAAATAGAAATGAACGAGATGGATTCAACAAAAATAAAAACTGAAATTTACAAAGTTGATTTCAACAAACCTGTAATTGCTTGCATTGGAGGAAACTCATTATGCCCTATATTCACAGATGTTTTCCACCAAAATAATTTCCAACTTAATTACTTTGACGCCAATATCGCATCCATTCCTCAGTTCTATGTGAATGACCCAGGTTGCGAAGATCTCAGATCGCAATTGAATAAAAGTTGGGAAAGAAGCCAAAAAATAAAAGATATTGATAGAAAAATTGATCTTCTATGCAGAAAGGCATCAAAAATTAAAAAGGAACTTGGAATCGATATCGATGAACTCATTGATGATGAAAAAGTTGATGAAATAGAAAAGTTAATCATTGACGAACTTCATAGAAGGAAAATTTTCAATCAAATCAAAAACTATATCCCTTATTATGATAAATTCGTTTTTGAAAACCAATCAATCGATATTCAACCAGTCAATGACTCAATCAAACAAGATATCGAAATACAAACTGATGCAAAGGAACAAGATGATAAACAAGTTCAAACTGATCGAGTGATCAGTTTCAAAGGTAAACAGGGTTATGATGACATTGATTATAATGGTGCGAATGAAAATATATAAAAGGAATACTTGATTCTAGTAAGAAAAAGAATATTCCACCTCGTGAACCAGATTCCCCACCACCAACAAAAAATGTAACAAGAAGTAAAGATAGTAAATCGGCACCACAGAAAACATAATATTTATATTCTATACGTGTCTAAGCTAATTAAAAAAAGAATTTGATAAAAGATCTGATGCTTCAAGACCAATGGAGAAAAAATAATCCGAGGAAAGTTTATAGAATGCAGAAGTACATTGCTCTTTTGAATAGAACATTCTAACATTAGAAAAATATTTTACAAATTTTGGATTCATGTGAGAATTCAATTCTAAAGTGGAAATAAGCAAAACAAGACATTTTAAATTGCTTTACCAATCCCTCACCAAAGTCGTAAAATTTTGCAACGACAAAAATTGTTATCGGAAACTTTTTTAAAAATATAATATTTCTATGTCTTAAAATCTATATATTAAAACTGCTTTTTATCAATTTTTCGTCACTTTTCCGATTTTATGAGCTAAAAATTTTCAAGTTCTCAAATAACGACGGCCATTGAATTCATTATTTTTGAGGAAATGAAATGCAACTTGCATATTCGCATCATAGAAGCCACTGGCCTTCCAAAGATGGATTTATTTGGTAAATGCGATCCATATGTTGTATTGCAGTATAACAATGACAGAGTTATTTCTCAAACAAAAGTTATCAAGAAAACATATAAACCAGTTTGGAATGAAGACTTCCACTTCCCAGTCGTCTCACAGATGGACGATTCTATTAAGTTCTTCCTGAAGGATGAAGATAAAGGAAAATCTGATGATCCAATTTCCCGACTAATAATCGAGCTGAAAACTTTGACACTCAACCAAGTTACCGACAAATGGTACGATTGCATTCCAGTAAAGGGAGTCAAGAAGGGAGGCAGATTACGGTTAAAGCTCCATTTGGCAGAAGAAGGTGCCGTTGCATTCGTTGAAGGAGCTCCAGCTAATTCTGGCCAGACAACAAAGATCATCGGAGCATTAGGCAGCAGCATGCAGTCAATCAATACAGGAATTATGGGAATAGTTCGCCAGCAACAAACTGCAGCCAACAGCCAACCAGCTCCCCAACAGCAACCTGCAGCTCCAGCGCCACAGGCACCAGCAGCTTCAATTCCACCTCAATATCCAGCCATGGATCAGAACCCATCAACTGTTACTGCTTCTCAGCCACAGTTCCAGCCTCCTCCAATGAACCAAGGCGGAGTACCTCCACAGTCATCTTCCCAGCCAAACTCAAACCCATACGCAAATCTCCAGCCAAATACTCCACCGCCAAGCAATTTGCAGTATCAGCAACCAGCGCTGTTTAATTCCTGCTCCAGCCCACAGCCACAATACGCTCAATATAGCTACCAGACCCAATATAATCCACCGCAAGGCCAATACTACGGCCAACAGCCATCTCAGTTCAACGTGCCACAAGGGTACGGCCAGCAGCCTCAAGCTAGCATGTATCAGAGCTCATACGGCCAATATCCAAACCAATACCAACAAAGCAACCCTATGATGGGAGCCCTCCCTACAGGAACAACTTATAACCAAGGAGGATATCGCTATTGAGAAAATTATAATTTTTTTTTTATCAAAAAAAGGGAATTGTTTTAAATTCATATGTTATTACTATGATTTATACAAACATTTTTACTCTTGAATATTCTGCGTCTTTTTTTTCATGAATAAAAAAATAATAAAATTATTAATCATCGAAGACATAGTTTTGTGATCTCATTTTTTGTCTAAGCCTCTCATTTTCAGCTCGATATCGCCTCACTGACGTCTCTTGCTCTTGAATCTTTCTGATCGCAGATTGAAGCTGACATGTTACGTCATCGAGCTTTTCTTGGATATTTCCTATCTTTTGGTCTTTCTTCTCAGCTATAGATTCTATGTTTTTGAGCTTATTATTAACTTTCGTATCAAATTCTTGTTTCAATATCTCATATTTCGCCGAATATTTGGATTCAAGCTCACTTGCTATTTGATTATTATTCTCATCCATCGTGATTAGTTGGTTCTTCAATCTTTCAATCCTTTTCTTTTGTTTGATGACTTTGTTCTGTAGCTTTTCTATATATTCCTTATTCTGATCCATTTCTGTGTTCATACTTTTAATTTTGTTTGTTAGATCATCAATTTGGCTTGTTTCCATTGCTAATTGAATTTCTTTCTCTTGATATTGCTCAACAGCTTTTTCAATTTGACATCTAGAGTCGTTAAGTGATCTAGATAATAATTCAATCCTCTGCTGATATCCTTTTATGCTGTTTTCTGATTCTTTCTTTAATTTTTCAATTTGAGAGTCTTTTTCTTTGACTTGATTGCTCAAATCTTTAATAGTATCTTTAAGTTCTTCAATGTATTCGTGAGCTTCATTCAATTTATTGCTCAAATCAGTATTTTCTTCTTTAGAATGCTTCAGCTGCTCATCCAGGGATTGACATTGAATTTTAATATTATCTGTGTATTCTATTATCTTTGCATTATCTTCCACCGTTATGTCTAACTTTTTCTGAAGTTTATTTTTTGATTTAATGTATTTTGATGATATTTCTGAGAATAAATCTATAACGGCACGATATGATTCAACATTTCGATAAGAAAGATTACTAATTTCTTCAAAAAATGGTTTTGGATTGTATTGAGATTCAACTGAGTGAAGTTTTTGATCAAATTCATATTTATTTTGGAGTATTTGCTTTCTTAAGCTAATGTTTAATTTGACTTCTGATTTGAAAAGAACGAAAAGCATTTCAAAGAAATGAAACGTTTTTGAATCATCTTTTGTTTTCCTCATTTGAACAAGAAATTCTTCAATTTGACGGCTCTTTTCTAGTATTTCATCTTGGCTTGATGATGAAGATTCATACATTTCCATTGAACTTAAATCCGAATTCATAAATTGTTTGATTTTCTCTAAACGTACATTTTTTTTATTGAAAATCTATTCTATATTTTTAATGATATATTTGATATCAGATACGATGTACTATTACCAGCTGGCAACATTTGTTGTAAACAGAAATTCATCAAAAGTGACACCTCAGAAAAGCTAAAATATTTAATTTTTGGAACTTTTGATAGAGCACGTTTTTAAATATTAATTAAAGTAAATGTATATTTTGTAAAGATTCTTTTTAATAAAAAAATAAAATTTTGAAGAAGAACACAAAATCTTCTGAAAAATAATATCACATAAACTCATATTATTTTCTAATATATAACTATTTTATATAAAAATCAAATTCAATGATCTTAAAAGCGAAGGATAAACCTCAAAATTTACGAATATAATGAGTGGGAATATAATGCTTATCTATCATAAAACCATATGAAATATCAATTTTTGCTTTACGCCTAATTTTTGACGACAATTAGCAAAAAATGTTAAATGTTAACACTCAGTCCATTTGAATATGAAAAATAAAATTGACTTTGATTAAATGTTTTTATTTATCATGCAATTCTTCTTGCGACCAAAGATTTGAATAAAAGTTCAAAAAATAAGATAGCTTAAAAAATAATATACGGTAGTGTTTACTAATAGATGAATAGTATATAAATTCTATTAAAATGGATTTGATCCAAAAAAATATAAAACCAAAAATAATTGTTATAATTTAAGGGTGCACCCGTATGTACGTTTATTTGAGAGGAGGAGGATTACCCTCTCAATTTTGAGGGATTCGTTAGTTTATTTTCTCGATGAATATGCAATAAAATTTGATTTTTACCTTATCAATATACTTCATATAATATACACATGTTCATGTAAAAACTTTTTTCCAAAATCCTCAGGGATTAAGGGATTTTTGAATTTTAAGAATTTTTTTCGAATTTTTTCGAAAAAAAATATTTTCAGAACAGCCTTAACGGCTAAGATTTAGGAACAATGTTAAGTATCAAAAAGAAAGGAGGTCTGATATAGACAACATATATCGTTGAAGGTTGAAAAAATCTCTAATATTTGAGCCCAAAATTTCAAATTTTAATTTTTTGAAAAAAGAGGCCACCCGTATGTACGTTTATTTGAGAGGAGGATGATTATATTTTTGAAAGGGTGAAACATTATGAATATGTTAATTATATAATAATATGTATTATTATAAAAAAGAAAGAGAAAGGGACAGACTAGCCCATTGTCACTTTTTAATTTAGCAAATGAACGCTTATGGAGTGGAGTTTTTGGGTAAATCTGATTTGCTTATAAATGAAATAAAATCAAAAGAAACCATATTGGCATTATATTATGCAAAAATAAATGATCTTACTTAGTACTTTTAAAGTTAATTTCAGAAAAAATTTGACACAATGGTATCCGGCACATACAAGTGGTGTACAACCAAAATATAAGTTAGTTTAAACATATATTGCTATATCTCATGATCTTACTTAGTACTTTTAAAGTTAATTTCAGAAAAAAATTGACACAATGGTATCCGGCACATACAAGTGGTGTACAACCAAATCTTCGACTCGATGAACTTGTCATCGAGTTATATTCCAGTGTTGTTCCTTCATTCCTGATTAAGTTGCAAATTAAAGGTCTGGATTCAGAGAGAAGTGTTAAAGTTATCAAAAAAGTCACAAGAGATTTCGAAGAAATGACACAATTTAAAAAAGTCGAATGCATCAGTATGCTTGAAGCTGTTCAGAAAGGTCTGAAAAATGATACACTTGATCCCAACATTGTTTACTCAACATTAAAAATATTATTGCAAAGAAAACATTTGATTTATTATAATTAATTTTTTATTACAGTATAGTAAAAAATGCTATAAATAAATTATTATATTTTATTAAAATGTGACTTTTAATAGTAAGTGAATAAAATAAATCAGGAATTGGGAAAGAAATAAGGTTAATTAAAAATAATGAAAATTACAAGTTTAAGGTTAATGAAAAAGTGACAATGGGCGAGTTTGTCCCCCACTCAAAAAGAAAAAATAATGCACGTTAAAATTTTTCTTTCTTGATTTTTTACAAAATCTACTTAGAATTATGCAAAATATGACTAAATAATTATAAATTTCAAGTTAAATTTTAATTTTGATAAATAATTTAAATTTCAAAATATCAAGTTCAGTTCGACTATGTATGTAGTAATTCCTCAATAAAGTGCCAAAACCCTATTAAAATATATGAACATTTTCAACATTTTAATGTTTTTATTTAAAAATTTGATGGAATATGAGCTTCAAACAATTATTATGTAAATAAAAATAATTAAATATATGTATTTATTCGTATTACAACCGTAGTAAGTCGATTCTTCCTTTCTTCTACTGAGGTTTGAATTTGATTTCGAATTGTAAAGAGATTCAAAGGGAAAATACTAGCGGATAAAAACTACCTCCATGAAAGGGTCATAATGGAGTCAAGTTGTATTTTTTGATATTTTTTGCTTTTCGAGCCTAAATAGGTAGCCAAGATAATGCCTAAAAATAAGGTTCTAAATTCTGAAGTTTACATGATCCTCTCGTGTGCACCCTTAAATGAAGAAGTAATTTAAAACGATTTTATTTATGATCAAATTTTATATATTTTTTTGGATCAAATCCATTTTAATAGAATTTATATACTATTCATCTATTAGTAAACACTACCGTATATTATTTTTTAAGCTATCTTATTTTTTGAACTTTTATTCAAATCTTTGGTCGCAAGAAGAATTGCATGATAAATAAAAACATTTAATCAAAGTCAATTTTATTTTTCATATTCAAATGGACTGAGTGTTAACATTTAACATTTTTTGCTAATTGTCGTCAAAAATTAGGCGTAAAGCAAAAATTGATATTTCATATGGTTTTATGATAGATAAGCATTATATTCCCACTCATTATATTCGTAAATTTTGAGGTTTATCCTTCGCTTTTAAGATCATTGAATTTGATTTTTATATAAAATAGTTATATATTAGAAAATAATATGAGTTTATGTGATATTATTTTTCAGAAGATTTCATTCTATATGCCTATGAAAAGTACTCTCAAAACTAACTTTTTCCTAATTATAATTAAATCTAGAATATTGTATTATGCTTAGTATTATTTCATTTTTCTCATTCAATTTAGAATTTACAAATGTCAAAAAATTGAGAGCTGTCACTTTTGATGAATTTCTGTTTATTACACCAGCTGGCAACATTTTTCATTTAATAATTAATATCAATGGATTTTTTTACAAATAGCAAAGATAAATTGAAATATACTTCGAATAACAAAACCCACTGAAACGTTTGACTATCAGGAGATATATCAGGTAAAATTAGGCGATTTTCCGAAAATGTGATCATCGTTTTTTCATTCAGATGGGTCTTTTTTTTCGAAATGAAAGCAGTTAATAAATTCCAAGCTGCTGATTAATCTACATAATCTGATTAATCTGATATCAGCCTCTCACAAAATTTATCCGCCTAAAAAAAAATGAACTACAGATATCATCTATATCTTGCAAAATCAAAAAATTTATTTTTCTTTTTTTCTTAAGGATACCCTTACATTGCGTAGTTAGAAAGAGAATATGATATTGTCATGATTGTTAAAGTTTTAGGCTCCAGAAATGAATATACATCAAACTGAAACAATTGATAAATTGAATGAACTTTTGAGAGGTTCTCAAATAAAAAAAATTATCTAATTTTTTACAATATTACTATTATTTTATCCACATATGTATATATAGTAATTTGAGAAAACTTTTAGGAAAAAATAAGTTTAATAAAAATCTGAATTTTACTTGTTGTGGGATTGTTATTAATTGACACTCCAGACGTATTACTAATAGTTATGCGTATGCAATTAAAGTATTTCTGATGGACAAAATGTGAGATTTATATCAGATAATTCATTTCTACTATTAAGTTATTCATTTATGAGTTTGCACTTATTCGCACTAAATAAATAACTATTAAAAATTGTTTTAATTAATTGACACCATATAATAGAGTGAATTTTGTTTGATCAAACAACAATAGATGATAGATATAAAGCCAAGAAACTTGCTATTAATATGCTCTACTTGCTATTTCAATGTAAGTATGATATTTTCTAAATGTTTCGTTCAGATAACTTAGATATATTAGTCAAAATTTGAAATTTTAATAGCACATATATTAAAAATAATTATTATTCATAAAAGATTAATGAAATAGTAAAAAAAATCAATCAAATTATAAAAATACAACATTTAGAAGAATTCTTATTATCCTTCAAAAAGTCAGTATTTCTGCTGTAATTTTCTACAACATTGTAGTTATTGCACTTTGTCTATGGATTTGTATATATGTTATATATAAATTATATATCTAAACTGCCCATAAGTGCAATTTTTATATAAATTGTTTATTTCTTTAACAATTTCATATGAAATATGCTTTTTTAAGCGTATCAAAGCTGTGTTCTTAATGTGCATGGATATATCAAGAAAAATGTCGAAAAAAAAATGTGAATTCACAAATTCACTGAATTTTCACCGTTTTTTGAATTTTGCTACAGCACTAATATTAAATAATACTAAAATCTTCTGTCTTTGTAAAGAATCTATTCTGACAAAAAGTGCTCGTTTAAATTTAATGATCATCTGTATGACTAAGTGGTAAAAAGTGTTTATGACCAAAAAAGGGTTACATGCTTAGTCTATTTTTCTGACAGGATACTCTAGATTTACATGATCTCTATTTCATATTCTCCGTTTTTAGATTCTTCGACAGATTTTATGATAGAAAACCAAGATTACAAATTTCCGGCATGTTAATGAAGAAATCTGCAGTACCCTCAATATTATTTCAATAATCAGTATCGTTTCTCTTACAATTTATTTTTTTCTCAATAATTTAAGCAAGAAATAACAATACACACTTGGTTTTACGTATAAAAGCTAAGTGTCGAACTTAATCAACTTTACTTACTTAGCAAATGAATTATTTTTGTGGTTGCGAGTTCTGAATGCTGAAGTTTTAGATTTCTCTAAATGATATCATTGCACTTACAATGTTGTTCCAGCCTATCGCATAAATCATAGAAAATCCAAAAAAAAAATAATATAAAGAAAATTCATGTCATGAAGTTCAAAAAATATCGTGTAACATTAAAATTTGTTATGCATAATACATTTTAGCTATTATTGATTTTTTTTAATTTTCGAGAAATTGAATGGTGAGTCCGATAGAGAAATTTTTAAAAATCCTAGTGCCTCATAGAAGTAATTTCCCTCGTCTCCCATACTTCCAAATGTATGCATATGACATAAACTTTTATGCATTACACAAGTGGCCAATAATATCTATAGAGTAAAAAATTAGAAATTTAATTTTTTTATATGATAGTTATATTTCAGATTTGCGAGCGTAACTTTTTTTCTCCATGGCATACTTGTTTTAAGAGCAAATGATCAAAATCGTCCTTCAATTATTGAAGGAGCTGATATCTTTTGAAAATTGAATTGAAAGGGTATTCAATTTTCAAATTTCCTCTCAATTTTGGAAACATATCAACTCTATGAATTAACAATTATGTGCCTTCACAGTTTATCAGTCATATAAGGTGCTTATAAAGAAAAAAGTTACGCTCGCAAAATATGTTTTTATATAGATTTCACATAAAATAATTATGTAATTTCTAAAAAGAATATTTTTGTTCTTGAATATTAAAGTGTATTGTAGTTTAAAAAGTTTTAAATATGTTGCTAAAATTTCAGGTTTATAGCTCATGTCTAGCATGACTTCTTCGTATGCGCAAAAAATCTGACACGTAAGGGTATCCTTAAATTTCAAATGTCATTGAATTAGTATTCAATTCATGAAATTATGCTATTTCTGGGGTACAGTTATTTGCTATTAAATTACACAAACGATTCATCAAAGAGTGGATTATTAAGCCCAGGGAAATACGAAATTGAGTGTTTTGGGGCCCAAGGAGGGACGTATTCAGAAACATATCGTGGCGGCCCAGGGGCATACGCCAGAGTTCAATTTAAAGTTACAAATACAATTACCTACACAATACAAGCAGGAATGCAAGGTCAAGGTACTTTTGGAGGCCTACCTGATGGTGGAGATGCAAGTGATAAAACAAATTGCGGTGGAGGAGGGTCAAGCAGAGCAATTTTAAGTGGAAACCTAATTATAGTTGCTGCAGGAGGATCTGGTTCAAATGATCAGTATCGTGGTGCTCCAGGTGGCGGAAACAATACCTACTTTTTGAAAAAATCAAGAAAAAATATATTTATAGAGAAATCAGATACTACTTTTTTGATGAATTCCAATTATGGCGGTAAAGCAATTGATGGATCAGGTGGTGGTGCTGGATGTTTAGGTGGTATGGGTGGCAATGATGGCACTTCTATTACATCCGTAGGAGCTAGTGGGACATCCTGTATAACTCCATCAGGTGCATTCATTCTTGAAGAGATATACAATGGTCAAAATAAACCAAATTTCGGAAATGGATCTGTCCAGATAACTTATGATTACTTATGTATATCTAATTGTGTGGATTGTGACGATGGATCAACATGTAATACATGTGATTCTTCACATGTTAAATATATGAATAGATGCGATTATCAATCATGCCCAATTTCCACATATCAAGTCGGAACCGAATGTTTTGATTGTCCTGCACACTGTGAAAATTGTAGTGATAGCTCAACATGCAACAAATGTGTGCAAGGTTTCTTCATGAAAGGAAATGAATGCGTATCATCATGTGATGAAGGATTCTATCAGGACAAGATAAATCGAGTTTGCGCTGCATGTTCAGTTTCAAATTGCAATAGTTGCTCATCTAAACCTTCTGTTTGTGATGCATGCAATAATCCATTTGTTTTGTATAATAACAATTGTGAGGAAAAGGAATGTCCATCTCATTACTTTAACCATTCATTTATATGCTATGAATGTAGTATGAATTGTTTGAACTGTTCATCAAAATACGAATGCACAGCATGTAGATCTTCAAGCTTTCGAATTAATAAAAGTGGGAATTGCACAATACTCAAAACAGAATCATATAGAAATCTTATGGAAATTCAGAGTTTTTCGCGAAGAATACAAAAGAATAGAAACAATTGAATGCAATTTAACTATATATCCTAATGGTTTCATATTTATGCATAAATTTTTCAATATGCATTCTATTATATATATCATTTTTAGTTTAAAGATTATGTTTTAATTCTGAAGTTATTTTTAATTTCACCAGATTTCTATCTTAATGCAATATGATTGTGAAAAGGAAACCATTTGCTATTCAAGAAATTTTCTGAAATTAAAGAATATGAAATAGCAGTGATAAATACTTAAAATATTCATGATGTTATAAAACATTTCTAACTGAAACCTATCTGCATCACCTAAATTAATGAATACAAAATTATTAGCATAAAAGGTTAATAAATATCGAAATTTGTGTACTAATGATGATAATTATTGCATTAAATCATTATGTTTCCGCAAATAACAGAAATGTATTATCAAATCATTGTGAAAAAGCTTGATAATTTGCAGTATATAAGGTATATTCTTTAGCATTCTTCTAATAGTTTAGAATTGGAGTGGCTTGAAGAACCATGCCATCTTGTTGTTGAGGTACTTCTGGCGAAGGACGGCGGCGTATTCTGTAAGGAGGGCCTTCTTAGCTGGAGCATCCTTAAGAGCAGCGACAACCTTTTCGACGGAGATCTTCTTGAAGAAGTCTTCATCCTTAACGTTGTGGCGTGTAAGCATTACGTGGTTGAAGTTGACGGCCTTAACGAAGAGCTTAACTTGTGTCTTCTTGACAAGAACCTCTGTTGGCATGTCCTTTGTGACCTTCTTTGGATACTTTTCAATGCCCATAACGATGGCGTATGGGAACTTGCGGTCCTCTGTGCCTTCTGGGTAAGCAGCAAGGACGACAGCCTTCTTGCCGGCATGGCGACCCTGGAGCATAACAACGAAGCGACCTGCTTGGAGAAGAGACATTCGCAAAAGGAAGGTCCATGACGATAATTTTTGGGTGAAAGTATGAAAAAACTAGGAATATTTGAGAAATAATGTTTAATTTGTAATCTATATACTATTTATTGTTCAGTTGTGCTCAAGTTTATCCATTTAATTCATTGGATATCTTTTGAATTTCTCAATTCATTGTAATTTTCCCTACATAGCAATAAATTATAATATGTTTGATGTATTATATTGATTATAAAATGGATGAATAAATAAGAATATTGATTTCAATTTTCAAGATTTTTAATATTTCAAACATATATCAAGTCTATATATGAATACTAGCATTCTGTCAAAAATACATCATTTGGAGTTCAAGAGCCTAATTTTTTTGATTATTCGTTCAATATCAAAATGAGAATGTGATTTAGATGTGTTTGCATGTGGCTTATATAAATTAGAAATACTATCACTCTTTAATAAAAACAATAAAACTCAATATTAATGTCGTTAAATGAACCTTTTCTTGAAGACATCATTATATATTTATCTCACATGAAATAACCCATCTATTTATGTATTATATTTGTAATTAAATATCAATTATTAAAAAAAACTGAAAAAGAATACTGAATTAGTGAAAAACTGAGGCTGATGCAGCATGTATTGGTGCTTGTGATTAAATGTGAGCGCCCATCATTTTAAAGATAAAGGCAGAATCAAAAAAATTATCACATTGAGAAGATTTTTATGAGAGCACAATTTTGAATTAAAAATGGCTGCTCAAAAAAATTATGAGATTACGAGAGTAATATTCGTGACAATGATTTTTTAGAAATGGGAAAACTTTTTTCGAAGATAATTCTAAAGCTGATTGAGGTAAAGTGTTTTAGTTGTACGGTCAATTATCTGCATGAGATCATCATACAATGCCCATAAGCAGAAGATAACCCCATATTTTTAGCAAATCGATAAATGAATGGTATTCAATTTTGCATCGTTTAGAATTGGTTAAATTTGAAGTTGTTAGTTAGAAAAGCATATGGGAAAGTATAGTGCTAAGAATTATTTTGAATTAATTCAGAAAACAAAATGCATTAATGCATTATTGAACAATATTATTTTTAAATAGTAGAATGTGTTAATTATGTTTTTGAATATTGATGTTATAGACCGAAAATAGATTTTTTCGGTTTTCTCTTCAAATAATTGAAAGAATGATACTATTATAGGTTTATTATATTATATAGCATAGAATCATGCTATAGCCGAAAATTATAAGTTTTGAGAAGATTGAATATAACACAAATAAATTTGAATGTAAGTTAAATTGCTTGTTGTTTTTAATAGCTATTCAATGAGAAATCCAATATTGCAAAATTCAAATTGAATGATTGAAAGAACAGAAAAAGTCATTCTTTTCAATTTCGAATATGTTTCATTGTATTTATAATTATATGGCAAATAAGATATTTAAACTTGATTTCTGAAGGAAAATTCACAAATTGAATAAATTCAAATAATTTTTATTCAAAAAATAAACTAGTTATTTGAGTTTAATACTAATTATCTATTCAAACTACAAAGTTTGTAATTTAAAATATTTTGTGAGATCAGATTGAATTAATTCAAGGTTCTTTTCAATTAATATTAATGACCATATTACGCATTTTCGAACATTCTAAACCAAATATATAAAAATGGGAGACGAATGTTAAATTTGCTAGACATGGGGAGTTGTCTGCAAAGTTTTAGCTCTTATCTCTAACAAAAAATTAATTTTTAAAAAAATGACCGAATACGTTTCACAGCGAGAAAAAAATAAAAGGCAAGATAGAATTTTCTAGACATAAAGAAGTTGTTTACCGAGTTTTAGCTCTTATCTCTAACAAAAAATTAATTTTTAAAAAAATGACCGAATACGTTTCACAGCGAGAAAAAAATAAAAGGCAAGGTAGAATTTTCTAGACATAAAGAAGTTGTTTACCGAGTTTTAGCTCTTATCTCTAACAAAAAATTAATTTTTAAAAAAATGACCGAATACGTTTCACAGCGAGAAAAAAATAAAAGGCAAGATAGAATTTTCTAGACATAAAGAAGTTGTTTACCGAGTTTTAGCTCTTATCTCTAACAAAAAATTAATTTTTAAAAAAATGACCGAATACGTTTCACAGCGAGAAAAAAATAAAAGGCAAGATAGAATTTTCTAGACATTAAAGAAGTTGTTTACCGAGTTTTAGCTCTTATCTCTAACAAAAAATTAATTTTTAAAAAAATGACCGAATACGTTTCACAGCGAGAAAAAAATAAAAGGCAAGATAGAATTTTCTAGACATAAAGAAGTTGTTTACCGAGTTTTAGCTCTTATCTCTAACAAAAAATTAATTTTTTAAAAAAATGACCGAATACGGAGAAAGGGACAGACTAGCCCATTGTCACTTTTTAATTTAGCAAATGAACGCTTATGGAGTGGAGTTTTTGGGTAAATCTGATTTGCTTATAAATGAAATAAAATCAAAAGAAACCATATTGGCATTATATTATGCAAAAATAAATGATCTTACTTAGTACTTTTAAAGTTAATTTCAGAAAAATTTGACACAATGGTATCCGGCACATACAAGTGGTGTACAACCAAAATATAAGTTAGTTTAAACATATATTGCTATATCTCATGATCTTACTTAGTACTTTTAAAGTTAATTTCAGAAAAAATTTGACACAATGGTATCCGGCACATACAAGTGGTGTACAACCAAAATATAAGTTGGTTTAAACATATATTGCTATATCTCATGATCTTACTTAGTACTTTTAAAGTTAATTTCAGAAAAAATTTGACACAATGGTATCCGGCACATACAAGTGGTGTACAACCAAAATATAAGTTGGTTTAAACATATATTGCTATATCTCATGATCTTACTTAGTACTTTTAAAGTTAATTTCAGAAAAAATTTGACACAATGGTATCCGGCACATACAAGTGGTGTACAACCAAAATATAAGTTGGTTTAAACATATATTGCTATATCTCATGATCTTACTTAGTACTTTTAAAGTTAATTTCAGAAAAAATTTGACACAATGGTATCCGGCACATACAAGTGGTGTACAACCAAAATATAAGTTGGTTTAAACATATATTGCTATATCTCATGATCTTACTTAGTACTTTTAAAGTTAATTTCAGAAAAAATTTGACACAATGGTATCCGGCACATACAAGTGGTGTACAACCAAATCTTCGACTCGATGAACTTGTCATCGAGTTATATTCCAGTGTTGTTCCTTCATTCCTGATTAAGTTGCAAATTAAAGGTCTGGATTCAGAGAGAAGTGTTAAAGTTATCAAAAAAGTCACAAGAGATTTCGAAGAAATGACACAATTTAAAAAAGTCGAATGCATCAGTATGCTTGAAGCTGTTCAGAAAGGTCTGAAAATGATACACTTGATCCCAACATTGTTTACTCAACATTAAAAATATTTTGCAAAGAAAACATTTGATTTAATAAACATTTAATTTATTATAATTAATTTTTTATTACAGTATAGTAAAAATGCTATAATAAATTATTATATTTTATTAAAATGTGACTTTTAATAGTAAGTGAATAAAATAAATCAGAATTGGGAAAGAAATAAGGTTAATTAAAAATAATGAAAATTACAAGTTTAAGGTTAATGAAAAGTGACAATGGCGAGTTTGTCCCCCACTCACCGAATACGTTTCACAGCGAGAAAAAAATAAAACTGTACACTGATTTTCATTTTCATTTCCAGTCACTTTACTTATTATTTTTTCTTTTTTTCATTTTAATTATAAATTATTTCATAATACGTTTATTTACGTTACCATTTTCTTTATTCTTTTGAATTCCATACTAGACACTTATAGAATATTTTGATTGTTAACGTACTTCATTAGAATGAATCCTTACAAAGGGTATGTCGATCGAATTTACCTAATTGGTATTTCCAATCAGATTGAAGAAGGTAAAATGACATGGGAAGAAGCTTGCACCCATGTTCCCATCGCCCAACCCTCCAATCAAATGATTTAAAATATTTAGATGTTTCAAAATCTTTTTTACAAAATCAATTTAGCTTACAGAATATCCATTGCCTAAAGGCAAGAAAG